AAGATTGCACCTCTGACTTATTTTATTTTTTTGAAAGATTGGCACCCGAGCTAACATCTGTTGCCCGTCTGCTTCTTTTGTTTTTTTCTTCTTCGCCCCAAAGCCCCCTGGTATGTAGTTGTATATTCTAGTTGTGAGTGCCTCTGGTTGTGCTGTGTGGGATGCCGCCTCAGCATGGCCTGATAAGCGGTGCCGTGTCCATGCCTAGGATCCGAACCACCGAAGCCCCAGGCCGCTGTAGCAGAGTGCACGAACTTAACCACTCGGCCTTTTAAAAGTTGTATCTAATAGTATCAAGGTATCTAGTCTGTCATACTGCTGAGAATCAATGTCTCCATCTATCTACAATTTAGTCTTATCAAGATGTTGCTATGTTGTGCCTCAGCTCTCTTATATTTTTGTTATTATAATAACTGTTTTCTTTATCTCTGTGATCTATCAGACTTCTTGTGCAGGTCCAATCTTAGACCCAGTTATGTTTTCTAATCTTGTTTCCCCATTGTTCTTTCACTAGCTATATTATGGCTTATTAAAGACATCATGTAGTGTAGCTACCATTCTTTTACTCATGTCATTCCATCCTGTTCAGATGCTCTCTCTTCTTTTCTCTCCACCTGCTCCTTCTGGCACTGTTGACGTTTTGGGCTGAAGAATTAATTTTTGTGGGAGATTATCCTATGTATTTTAGAATGTTAGCAGCATCCCTGGCCTCCACCGACTAGGTGCAAATAGTACCTCCCATTTATGACAACTGAAAGTGTTTCCAGACATTGCCAAATGTCCTTTGGGGCGCAATAATCTCCCATGGTTGAGAACCACTGTTCTAGCGCTATATGAATTTGGTCTCAGTTGAAAAGCCTTCTCTGATTATCCCTGCCTGTGGCTTTTACCTTCCGGAGTTTCTGTAGTACATATTGTCTGGATTGTACCCTTGCACCTTTTTACATTTGGTTGTGAACTTCTTCCTCTATCTCCCTCCCCATCCTCCGTGTTATATGTGTGTGTGTGTGTGTGTGTGTGTGTGTATGTATGTGTATCCGTCTTATTTTCCCAAGTTCTAAATGGTGGGGACCATATATTTTACTTTTTTGTTTGTTTTCTATTTTGGTCAACCCCGTGTACTTGTTAGTAGTTTTACATGTGTCTGTTGCTTGCTTTTTTCCTTATTTTTCCATCTTTTATATGGTAGTAATGTGGGTTTAGGAAATTGAATCATTCTAGAAAAGTGGAGAACTTTGAGGTGTTCTCAATTTTGAAACTCTAGTAATGGTAATTATTAGACCTCCAGACAACAGGATTAATACTGATGTAACAATAATGTGTATACCCAGTAATAACTCTGGAAACTTCAAGACTGTGCAAGATAGTTATCAAGATATGAGAGATGTAATTTCTGTTGGATGTATCCATTATTTTAAGTAACCAGAAAAATGTGCAGTAGAGTAGAAATAAAAAAATAGACAGACCTATAGAAAGTAGAAGAATTTGTAGAAGCTTGAAATATGAATGATTAGTTCTACAGAGTGAGATGAGCAAAGTAATCAATATGTCAGGGTAAATTGTTAGGAAAGATGGATGTAGCATCTGGTTAGGAGTGACTTGTGTAAAGCTGACAAATATGATATGTGAAAGCCAGTAAGTTGAAAACAAGTTGGGCACAGAGAGATTAGCTTCTTAGTATCAATTTAAGAGAAACGTGTATGTTTTGCCCCAATTGGGAAAGATACAGCTCAGTTACAGATTCCTCCCCACTTTTTTCTTTTTATTATCAGCAAATTACAACTAACAAAATAAATTGAAGCTTGAATCTAACTACCTTTATAAGGTGCTTTCTCATCTAGGCCAAAGTCTTAATGAAAAATAATCGTAAGCATACTGTGTGTTCAGTGTAGAAAAATTAGAAAGTAATGAAAATTATGGGGAAAATGAAAGTTAATTACAGTTTCCAAAGCCTAAACCACTATTATCATTTAGGTTAATTCCATTCTCTTGACTTTGATATGGTGTCAGTCTCTCTAGATATAGATGTATGATGTGCTTATATGTATATATAAATATATACTGTGTGTGTGTATATATATATTTGTATATGTATGTATATATATTTATATAAAATAGAGGTTATCTGAAATGTTTCATAGCCTGTTCTTTTTAATTTAGTGTTGTGAACATTTCTCTGTATCAGTGAAATTCTTAAAGTGATGTTTAGTGACAACATAGCATTCTATTCTGAGATTATCCCCAAATTTATTTTAACCATTCCCCTATTAAACATTTAGGATTTCTGTCCTATACACACACACACATACATACATATACATATAATTTGCAGTGAACCACTCTAATGAAAAATTTTGAGTATATCTCCCATTTTCTTTGAAAATTTTAAGTACATCTCCCATTTTCATTTTACTCCATTGCAGTCTGCGTCCTGTAATATGCCCTGCAAAATTCATTCTACCTGTCTTCCTTAGTAAAAAGAACCCTAATTTTATAGCTGAGCATTATTATGAATGTTGGAAACTGCTTTTCCTATCCTCTCAGGTGGCTAGGTGTGGCTAAAGGACTAAGTTAGGGTTTGTACGCTGTAAGCTGAAATATAATATGAGAGTTAAAAGGGAGTGGGGTGGGCCTTTCTTTCCCCTTCCTCTTTTGCTTCCTGCAATATGGATGTTTTAGCTGGAATTCCTATAGCTTTCTTGGGGCATGAGGTGACTGAATAGAAACAGTGTATGGTAGAGCAAAAAGATGGAAGGAACTAGGGTCCTCAGTGTTTGGAGCTGCCACATCAGCCTTTGATTGTCTACTTCTGGACATTTACTTGGGAGAAATTCTCTCCCTTTATTTTTTTCTCTCAAGTCATTGTTATTATTAAAAAAAATTGTTTTGGCTTGGGAAGCATATGACCTAATCTTAGCTGATAAAGGATAACATTGTTTAATGCTCTAGGTAGTAATATGATAGGTCAACTGTAAGGAAACATGCGTTGTGTCATGGTAGATTCTAGATGCATGTTGAAACCCAAATTTACTTTGAGACTGGAGAGGTGATTAATTGGTATTGAAAGGAAAACCCTTAAAATGATGCATAATTTCCAGAACTCTTTGATAATTATATTGTTGAATTTTGTTCTCAAGTGCTTTTAATAATTATCACAAATATTATTTCAGAAAACGCTTGATAGCTTTTAGGCAAAAAAAAAAAAAGGCAACCACAAACATTGAGGGTTATATGTTGTATCAAAATAATCCTTGGAAGCCCTCTAAGTTTTTAATATTATTAACTATCTTGGCTAGTCACTTAGACAAGATCAGCTCATAAATGTGACTTGTAATGCTCTCATATTAACTTTCTTAGAAAAATTTTGATAAATGAAATTTTTAAAAAATATTTTTTATAACTATAGACATTTCTTTTTAGTATTCTAAGAAAATTGTTCATAACGTTAGCAAAATAAGTGAAGGATACACATTTAAAAATGTAATAAATTTTTTTTTTGGAGTAGTTTTAGGTTTAAAGAAAAATTGAGGGGCTGGCTGGTGGCGCAGTGGTTAAGTTCTCATGTTCCGCTTCTCAGTGGCCCAGGGGTTGCCAGTTCGGATCCCGGGTGCGGACATGGCACTGCTTGTCAAGCCATGATGTGGTAGGCGTCCCATGTATAAAGTAGAGGAAGATGGGCATGTATGTTAGCTCAGGGCCGGTCTTCCTCAGCAAAAAGAGGAGGATTGGCAGTAGTTAGCTCAGGGCTAATCTTCCTCAAAAAAGAAAAAAAAATTGAGCAGAAAGTACAAAGAGTTCCCATATACCCATTCTCCAAGTATACACATTTTTATCCAGGGTATTCCCCTGCATATATAAACTAAGACTTTACATCCGTGAATGAAATATGTATTATTTTATAGTAGGAAAACCGTACACTACTATAAATCATTTTGCTGCAGTCCGGGGTTTCCCACTCTCACCACTATTCACATTTTAGGCTAGATAATTCTTTTTTGTAGGGGGCTATAATGTGCATTATAGGTTATTTAGCAGCATCCCTGATCTCTCCTTATGAGATGCTGGTAATACTCCGCAGTTGTGACAACCAAAAATGACTCCAGACATTGCCAAATGTCCCTCGGGAGGCACATTGCCCCCATTTGAGAACCATTGCTCTCACCAATTTACAATATTTTAGGATTTGCTGTACTTTTTAGGTTGGGCTCAAATTTAGGAGGTCTCTCTCAACGAACCTTCATATGGAAGTTGTATAGACAAAGTTAGAATCTTCCCCGCCACTTGGGGACTGTAGGTAGTGTACATAGTCTTACTGGGTCTCAGTTTACTTGACTGTAAAATAGGTAAAATATTACCTAACTTGAAAGGTTGTCTGGAGAATTCATTGAGATAAATTATATGAAATACTTCGATTAATTTTAGTTTCTTTCTCTTTAAATATTGTTTGGATTTATTCCCTTAAATGTGTCAAAAACCCAGTACAAAGTTCTTATTTCTGTGGGAAAGGCTATCATAGTTTGGGATCTACTATTTATGGATTTCAAGAGTACTACACTGTGGGTGAATGAAAACTTTAAATAAATGTTAAATGAAGACTGATTTATGAGGTCAATTGTGTTTTGATTTTGACTCTGGTACTTTAACTAGATTGTCGCTATGTTCAAATTGTGACAGTTAAGTGATCTTGTGTGCTTCAAGGACTGAGTTTCTCAGATTGAGGATAGCATTAGATGTTGGCCAATCACTTTGTCCTTCGAAGTTTTTGTCTTCACATCTGAAATCCTGCCACTTGTAGCAGCTTGTGTGTCAGCTCCAATAGAGGAAGCTGGCCTCTGTCAACTTGTTCTTAGTCCACTGAAGACTTCTGAAAAGTTGACATAGTTTACAACTAATAATGTCCATTTCCCATTGCTACTTTGTAGAATTATAAAACGTGTTCAATAGTGAATGAAATGCCATCTGTAATAATTAAGATTATTCTTATTGTTCTACCTCTGCAGAAAATTTTCAAAGACTTGGTGAAGATAGGAAAACCATCAGAAAGGCTGGAGTACTGTTATACTGTAAGTATTGCTTTGAAAAAGATCTGTAAGTTAAGAATATTTTAAGTATCCAATTGTTTGGTGGAAAATATGTTAGGCAAAGATATGTAAAGTATAGAGGAGGATATATTATAATCACGTTAATAATTTATAAGAACTATTCCTATGCAGTCTTTTAAAAATTGAAAATGTGTTCTTATGTATTGAGATCAGGATTTTACCAATAGCGTTGAAAAATATTTCTAATTCTAACAAGGATTGATCTAGTTTATGTACATTTGCTTATTTAAAACTATCAGAATCTAGAAAATCATTGTAGTTTTGTAGGTTTGTGATTTGTTTGGGTGACTTATTGTTTAGGTTATTTTGCAGAATTATTTATTTGCTGATTTATTTATGTATTTCATTATTTATTTATTTGATTATTTAGTAAATTATTTATCTGATGAATTATTAATACATCTTCATGACATGCTTTAAATTATTTATAACTTAATTTTGAGTTTATTGCTTTTAGACGCTGCATTGTTACTGACTAGTTTTGATTTTTTCTTTGTGGTTCTTTAAATTAAAGTATTAGCTCTAAGGCAAAAGTATATTCATTGCAATGCCCATGGATTTTTTTTTTAAAGTAATTTATGGTAGAGATAAAATTTCAGTGTGCTTTGTTTGGCTCTAAATTTACCTGTTCAGGGTTACTGGTGATAGAATGTTTGTGTGTTGTGTGTGTACTCATTGTAGGATCACTTACAAATTAATGACATAGCCTGTAGTCTGTCAACTGAGGTTGAACATGTAAACCTCAGTCCATATTATCCTTTATATTTCTAAAGGGCAAGTCTGTATTTCTTACTTGCTTTAGAATAAATAATGGAGTCTTAGTTATTTTATTTTGGTGGCAAATCTATTTTACTACTGGAGTATTTTTAGGAAAGTTCAGAGAAATGAAGTCCAGCTTAGATTTGGATCTCTGAGATATAAATTTGACTAATGTAGTCTTTTTTAAAAAAAATTTCCATTGTATTTATATTTGGAAAACAACATGATGTTTATATAGATTTTTATATCAGTCGTGGTGACATTTATTTCTTATCATACCTCTTATGGAAAGGTTTGTACCACTTTGTTTTAATGAACTAAAATGGACAAGAACTTCATAAATGCAAACTATAGTTTCTCTGACTTTAGCTAATAATTCCTATGTAAAGTTTCCGTTTCTAACCAAATACGGTATTTCTTCTTTCTTCTGACTGTGTGATAAGCTAGTGCAGTTATTAGGGTTCTCCTGTTGAATGGGTTTAATGAATAGGTTAAAGTAGTTGTTTGGGTTAAAAGTGTCACGTGCACAACATGGTCTTTCTTCTGTGTGTGAATTACTGTGTACTTTACAGTTTTAATGTTTCAGAGAGAAGCAGCATTGTACATTCCAAGTTAGGATGCTGTTGAAATATAGTGAAAATGGCCTCTGTAGACAGTTTTCACTATAGAAATGTAAATTATGCATATGTATACCCAAATTTCTTATTTTGAAATATTGAATATATGAATGTTTAATTGGAATATTGCTTTAGAATCTTCATATGCTTGCCTTAAAGGACATGGTTTCATTTTATTTATACACGTGGATTTAAAAATGTGTGTATTGTGCATATCTCTGACCTTTCTTTTCTGAAGATGAACAACCGCAGATAGTGGTAGATAGGGAATTTTATTTTAAACTGTGCTTCAGTGTGCCAGTGTGGACTTATTTCGAAGAAGAAAGCTGCCTTCTTCAAAGTTGAATAAGATCTACTGTATTAGTTGTCGTGATAATATACCCAGCCCACACTATTAACATGTATTTGTGAAGTACCAGCTGTGCCATCCAAGTTATCTTTCATTGGAAGATACACACACACCTGCACAAGTGAAATTTTCTCCTGACATCAAGATAATTTTCTGGGACTCGTTTTTCAAAAGAGACATTAATGGGGAATATCGTAATAGCCAGCATTTATTGAGGACTTATTTTGGGCAGGCATAGTGCTCATATGTTTTACATGGGTTATTTGTTACTCGTCACAGTGAGATAAGTACGGTTATCTTCATTTTACGAATGAGGAAACAGAGACTTAGAGGTGTTAAGGAACCTCCTTATTGCCACACAGCTGACAGTAAGTGATGGCGCTGGGATTAGAATTTATTTACTTTGACTCTCAAGGGTCTTTTTTTAGCTCGTTACGGTTGGTATAATCTAGTTTTTAATGAGCTGTTTTTTGTCTTTTTAGAGAATGTAGTTTATTTCTGATAGGTTTAACTTGCTAAGTTTAGTCACTTTGTGTTACTGTTGGTCATCTTTTTTAAACAGTAGGCAGTATTTGAGCTTCTTGAATTTTCTTCTTCTTCTTCTTTTTCTTTTGTGAGGAAGATTGGCCCAGAGCTAACATCTGTGGCCAATCTTCCTCTTTTTGCTTGAGGAAGATTGTCACTGAGCTAACATCTGTGCCCATCTTCCTCTATTTTATGTGGGATGCCACTACAGCATGGCTTGATGAGTGGTGCTAGGTCCACGCCCAGGATTCGAAGCTGCAAACCGTGGGCCACCAAAGTGGAGTGTGCGAACTTAACCACTGGGCCACCAGGCAGACCCCTGAATTTTCTGATTTGATTCTTATAATCTTGTATAGTGGATCAGAATTAGATACAGAAGAAGAATTTGTGCCTCAGGGAGATTGAATGTTTGCTTGGTGGATGTCCAGCACTCAGATCAGGTCTTTTGACTCTCTAGCCCAAGGCCATTTCCAGGGCTCTGTTAGATCAAATCTGATTTCCTTTTAAAAATGATAGTATTGTCAGGGTTAGATACATATTGTTAAAAGAATGATTAAGTGTCTGATGCCTATGCTTTTATGGAAGTGATCACAAACATGCTATTAAATTAACTCTAACTATAGTGTTTAATACACTATTAAATATTTTAATATGTTCCTAAAAAAGGATGACAAAATAACGAGTTGCAATTTTAAACACTTAAATGTAATTATTTAAAAGATTCTGGGGAGCCTTAGAGAGTAAGGAAAAATGTGAATTTGGTGTGAGGCCAAGAGAAAAGACTTTCCAATCTTGTTTGCTACCTGAAGACAAAGGGAACCCTCCATTCTGGGTCTGAAACACACAAAGGACATCAGAAGAGATGAGGTAGAGTTAGGTAGCGACAGGGTTTGAGTGATGTTCTTTGAGTGCCTTAAGTAACTGCATCTGTCTGAATGGCAGGGTGTTATGTGCATCACTCAGAGTTTTAAGTTAGATCTTTCAAGTAAGTAAATAATTATTGCTACATTGTAAAATCTTTAAAACCTGTGATTTAGCTAATATGAAGTACTGTAATAACTAGAATGACTAAATAATTTATCTTCCAATTCAGAATAGTTTTGAGAGTGAAAGGGTGTGTTGTAATATGCCAGGACAATAGGTGTAAACTGGGATCTTGCTGGGCAAATTGGGCCCTCTGGTCAGCCTAGTAATATTTCAAATTCCTATTGAGCAATTCCTGATAGTCTCATATAATATATATTTAAGAAGAATCTTGGGGCCGGCTCCGTGGCAGAGTGGTTAAGTTCGCACACTCAGCTGCGGTGGCCCAGGGTTCGGATCTTGGGTGTGGACATGGCACTGCTCGTCAGGCCACGTTGAGGCAGTGTCCCACATCCCACAACTAGAAGGACATGCAACTAAGATATACACAACTGTGTACAGCGGGGGTTTGGGGAGATAAAGCAGAAAAAAAAAAAAAAAAATTGGCAACAGTTGTTAGCCCAGGTGCCAATCTTTAAAAAAAAAAAAAAAAGAATCTTAATTCACATACAATATATTTAAGAAGAATCTTAATTCACATACAATATGTTTAAAAATATTTTATGATAAAACTAACTTCTCTTATGGCCAGTGCTTATGTGTTTTTGTTAGCTGACCAAGGCAGTTTGTGCCTACAACTTTTATGAAGTGTGTCTCTGATGTTTTACAGCTTTTGGGACCTATTTTCAAGGTATAAGTAAAGGGATATTACTCTTGGGCATAGAAAGATAAGTATGGCAAAGTTGGTCATAGTATAGTAGATAATTCTAAAATTTTTCTTCATATCATATATTACAGGAATTTTTTTGACTTGTTTTGCTTTGTAAATCTTCTGATTGATGGTGTATTTGACATTGTACTGAAAACTAATCCTATTTGTTATGCCTTCAGAATTTGTAATTTTATGTTGGATGATCCAGTGGTCTTTTTGTTTTTTCTTAAAATAACTGTTACATGTCATATATATTTATAAGTTGGCAGTTTTGCCAAATATTTTTGAAAACAACTATTTTTCCTCGGTGAAAATCTGGGAAAATAGGAATCTCTAGAAGAGAATTGCTTAAAGTTTTTTGTATTGTTTTCTTTTTAATTCCCTCTTGACATGTATTTATCTAACATGGCATATTACATTATTAAAATCATAATTAGATTATTAAATTTAAATTTCTAGCTTATTTGCATTTGGAATATAGATGATTTGTTAGGTTGAACTATGTAACCACACTGTGTTTGAATGTACATTAAAAAGAAAAATTGTTATGCAATAATTCTTATTCATTCATATGTATACTATCAGAACTCTTTTTGTTCAGAAAGACCTAGGCAACAAAGGTAAGAGCTTCCATATATTCTGCCTAGAGTTTTTCACAGTATGAAGCACTTCGTGAAATATTAGTATAGTTGTAAGAGTAATAACATAGCTTATGTGTTGGCTCTGAGAGTACCTCCTTTATAATTATGACAAGTAAAAGTACAGCCAAAGGTCACATTTGAACAAAATTTCTTTCACACCTCATCCGTTTTGTGTATGGCGTGTGAAGTAGTTTGGATCTTTGCACTGATACTTTAAGAGAGCAACCCAAGGTTGTTCCCATGGGAAGTGTTTCAAATATCTTTCCCCATACCTCCCATGCAGTCGCAGAATTTGGCATGAATGTGTACTCGAATTCTGGACTAATTAAATAGAA